AGTGTTGGTACAGTCAGTGTCGGTACAGTCACTGTCAGAACGGTCAGTGTCGGTACAGTCAGTGTCGGTACAGTCACTGTCAGAACGGTCAGTGTCGGTACAGTCAGTGTCGGTACAGTCACTGTCAGAACGGTCAGTGTCGGTACAGTCAGTGTCGGTACAGTCACTGTCAGAACGGTCAGTGTCGGTACAGTCAGTGTCGGTACGGTCAGTGTCGGTACGGTCAGTGTCGGTACGGTCAGTGTCGGTACGGTCAGTGTCGGTACGGTCAGTGTCGGTACTGTCAGTGTCGGTACTGTCAGTGTCGGTACGGTCAGTGTCGGTACTGTCAGTGTCGGTACGGTCAGTGTCGGTACGGTCAGTGTCGGTACGGTCAGTGTCGGTACTGTCAGTGTCGGTACGGTCAGTGTCGGTACGGTCAGTGTCGGTACGGTCAGTTTGGGTGCTTTTCCTTTGATGTTCCAGTCCAGTTCCAGGGGGTGTGTTTTGGGTGGTTGGTGGAGTTGGCTTTGGGGTTTTTCAAAAAAGAGTTAATGCACAAAATGAGAGATGAAAACACATTTGCCTAATAAGTTCTGAAATTTTAAAAATTCGCTAAAAATTTGAAATAAAGTTGGATGTAAACATAACTAATGTCACTGCTACAATTGAAAAAATGACGCCTCAGTTTGTTGTATAGAACCGCTTGCAGACCGATTCCAGCTCGCTCAAGATAAAATGTTCGAGTTTTGATAGAATACGGCCATCCATCATATCGGTCAGTCAGCCTGGACATGAACAGCCACTGACACTGATCTGTAGACCACCAGGAGACCACCAAGCCAATCTGTAGAATCCAGTGATCAGAGTCCAGATATATATCCTGAACAGAGCAGACCAGAGGTCCCACCTTTGACATGTCCTCCCATGGAAGAAGAAGAAACTTTGTTCCAAAAGTTTTATTAAGAGACCAGCTAACCAAGTCCATAAAAATAAAAATATCATAATTTCTAGTTTCAGATGAAAATGTAGAGAAGCTCCAAGCAGCAAAGCAGGAAGATAAGGAAGGGCAGGAGAGAAGGAAAAGGTGTCTTACTCCTCCAAGAGCAGAAACAAAAAGTAGTGGCTAGTAGTCGTAGCTTTATGAAACAAAACTAAGATGACCTGTTTCATCAGTTCATGATACGGTTAGGTTCTTTCACCAACACTCCTGTAGTCCCTTCATTAAAGATGCTGGGGCAGGTTATTTTTTGAGTTGTGCAGGTTATTTGTTGTGTTGTGCAGGTTATTTGTTGTGTTGGGCAGGTTATTTTTTGAGTTGTGCAGGTTATTTGTTGTGTTGGGCAGGTTATTTGTTGTGTTGGGCAGGTTATTTGTTGTGTTGTGCAGGTTATTTGTTGTGTTGGGCAGGTTATTTGTTGCGTTGTGCAGGTTATTTGTTGCGTTGTGCAGGTTATTTGTTGCGTTGTGCAGGTTATTTGTTGCGTTGTGCAGGTTATTTGTTGTGTTGGGCAGGTTATTTGTTGTGTTGGGCAGGTTATTTGTTGTGTTGTGCAGGTTATTTGTTGTGTTGGGCAGGTTATT